TATAGTGAATCATTGTAACGGTATAATGTATGAAGTAGGTGGAACCCAAGCTTTTTTTTTTTTTAAATATTGACTACCTGCCACCAATATGAGGTGCAAAATGTATTTAGAAATTTTAACTTGAGTAACATTTATTAGTCATCTCCTGCTTATTTCTTGCTTGCTTGTACTTCAACAATGAATTTATATTCATCAGGACTCTTACCAGAGCTGGCCTCTCTGCTCTGCCTTTGGACCTGTGTGAGCAGCTGCCTCGCCTCAGAGTGCTGTAAGTATACACACACGTTACACAGTGAGAGGTGATAAAATATGGACACATAAAACCAAAGCGATGCCCCCAGCAGTCATTAGCAAAATTACTCTGTGAAACCAAGTCTGCTTTAGTACTACAGAGAGTTTATTATACAGGGCTTAGTTTGTTCTTGACATAAAATACAATACCATTTACAGACTGGTATGTTTTTGTAGTGAGCTGTCCTACAATGAAATCGAAGTCTTGCCCAGCTTTTACCACTGTTCATCACTGCAAGAAATGTAAGTTTATAAACTTGGCTTTGGCTATTTTATATTGGACTGGTTTATAGTGTTTTATTTCTGTTTTACTTTCAGTGGTCTGCAGCATAATCTGATTAAGAAAATAGAGTCCACTACTTTCCATCAGCTCAACTCTTTAAAAACACTGTAAGTACACTCACTTTTAGTGAATTAATGAAAACAATGTACAATGTATGTCAGCAAAGGCTGTGAGACTGGATGAAATGAAAAAATATGATTGACTGAAGAGTCTTGGAGTTCTATGAATGTACATATAGTAGTAGTAGTGTACATATAGTATAGAAAATCAATAAAATTGTAAATTAAAGAAAATACTTTCTTTTCTCTTAGTGATCTAAGTTGGAACTTAATAGAGTGGATTCACCCAGATGCTTTTGCATTTCTTCACTCTTTGGTCAAGCTGTAAGTACATCAGCTACAACAAGACTATATATGTCTCTGTGTCTTTTGGGTAATACAATGTAATGATTTTAATTGTTTAAGTTTAGTAATGAAACAGAAGTATATTAAGTACAAATCTGGGAATACATAATGAACATAATGTTTTGACATCAAACTGCATTTAAGGCATTTTAAATTGTGCTTATTAAGTACATTTCAATAACATAAAAAACAAACAAATACAATGTTTCACACAACTTTCCTATACAGCCTATTGATTTCATCTTGTGCAATAGTTATAAAACAATGACTTTTTCTGTCTGCCATAGGGATCTTAGTGAGAATCATCTTCGCTCACTACCGGTTTCAGGCTTGGGGTCACTCACTCATCTCAAATTAAGAGGAAATACTGAATTATATGATGCCTTCAGTCCAGATAACTTCCCACAAATGAGGTAAGACATTTGATGCTTATTTCATACATCACCCCAGGTACGACTGACTTATGCCAGGTGTGTATCCTTTGGCTGTTAAAAACAAAGCAGTCTTTCAATTATCCATACCCTTCCAATATTCTATTAATATTATCAATTTACTGGGAGCAGCCAAGCTTGACAATGAACTAATTATAGCACATAGCACATAGCACATAGCTCTGAGCAATTTCTGAACTCAATTTCCACAATGAGGAGGCAACAGTGGGCAGCATGTTAATGCTTGTTGCACAGGGTTAGTATCCCTGAAGGCTGGAAGTCAAAAGTGGAGCGTACATCAAAGGAATCAGATATGGCAGGTGATCAAGTAGCAATGTCAGCCTCAGTGTAGAACAGCACCAAAATTTCACTGCATGCCACCCAGTCACGGCAACAGTTGCGTCAAGGTGTATACAGCTATCAACGTCAAAGCCATTTGAAATGTAAAACAAGATTAAAGTAATGATTAAGCTCATTATTTAAGTGGGTTGGCAAGATTTCATATGCTTTTCTAATAATAAAGGTGTTCATTATGTTCCAGGATAATTGAGATGCCCTATGCATACCAGTGCTGTGTGTATGGATCTTGTGATGGCTATAAAGCAGTAAACCAGTGGGACACAGAGCAAAGCAATACAGATGAAGACCTTCACAAGAGAACTGTGGCCATGTACCCAATCCACACAGAGACTAACTGTAAGCATCTGCAATGTGCCACTGACACTTAAGTGACATCATTAAAATCTTTGGCTCTTATGTTCCATCTTAAAAGTAATGTATACATTTAAAAAAATTAAGAGCACCATTATATACAAAAAAAATGGTAGAAACCTCAGAGTCATACTCCTGTACTTAGGGCAAGTTATTGATACCAAGTAAGCCAGTGGCACACTAAGCCCTCAGCTACCTGGCAACTGAGGATTCCCATGACAATTATTGATGTGAACAGCACATCACTGATGTGAACAGCAATAAATCTAAACTGATTTGTAATTAAAACTATTGAATTAAAACAACTTAACCGTCAAATATTTACAACAGAAACAATAACACCAAGATCAAAATAATTCAACGATGTTACAGATTTAAATCTAGTCTTCTGCAGTTGCAGTAAAAACTATATTAGAGAAATGTCAATTACCTCTCAATTTTACAAATATGCATTCATATAAATCACAACCTTGCACCATACATGTGCACAATAATATCCAATGTAATTTAGCATACATGCAAAAAAGAAAATCTCACACACCCAAGTTAGTCTAAAGTAGTGGGAACTGATGTTTCTGTTATATTCCAGATGACCCTGACCTGGAGGAGTTTCAGCTTGAAATTGAAGAATCGAAACTTCAAACAAGTGTGCAATGTACACCTATACCAGGTACATCATGTTCACTGAAGGCAACATATATTTGATATGTATACCTAGTTTCCTACATCTAATGTGGTTCATGTTGACCAGGTCCATTCCGCCCATGTGACTCCCTGTTGGGCAGCTGGCTGGTGCGTATGGGGCTGTGGACCATCTCTCTCATTGCTCTGCTGGGAAACGCTCTGTTGCTGCTGTCCCTCTTCAGTTCTCCAGGATACCTCTCCCCCCTGCGCTTCACTGTGGCCTGTATGGGAGCCTCTAACCTGCTCGCAGGAGTGTGCATGTGTACTCTGGCTCTGGTGGATGCACTGACCTATGGAGAATTTGGTCATCATGGAGCTCACTGGGAGGGTGGCCCTGGCTGTCAGGCCACTGGGTGGGTGTGGGTGTTTGCCTCAGAGGCCAGTGTGTTGTTGCTCACTTTGGCGGCTGTGCAGTGTGGAGTTACAGTAACATGTGCGCGGGCTTATGGGAAGTCTCCTTCACTGGGAAGTGTGCGCACATGTGCACTCTTCTGCCTTACTTTGGCCCTATCTCTGGCCTCTCTACCTCTTCTGGGCGTGGGGGAGTATGGGTCCTCTCCACTGTGTCTGCCCTTCTCCACTGCCTGCACCCACCTCTCGACTGCCCTCCTCCCTGGGGTTTCCTCTGGCCCTCATAATGATGAATACTCTGTGCTTACTAATAGTCACAGGTTCATACATCCGTCTATACTGGGAGTTACTCAAAGGAGAGTGTGACAGTTTATGGGACTGTGCTATGATCAAACATGTAGCCTGGCTAATCTTCACCAATGGAATGCTTTATATTCCTGTGGCCTTCCTGTCTCTCTGCTCCTTGCTTGGTCTGTTATCTCTGGGGGATGAGATTCTTAAGTCAGTTCTGTTGCTCCTTCAGCCCCTACCTGCTTGTCTAAACCCTTTGCTCTTCCTCCTCTTCACTCGAGACCAGGCACAGTTTTTCCTTTGGCCACACCCCAAAGACCGCCCTCAGCTGTGGCGGGAGCGAACCCTGGACTCTCTGGTTTCCGTTGAGACAGAGAAAAGTTCATGTTCTGAGTCTTCCACTCAATTGTCTCTTGGTGAAGCTGATGCACTATGCAGTAAAAGCTCCACAGCCCAAACTCGACTGGATCCAATCAGATTTTCACACTGCTCTTCCACCTCCACATCGTCGTCCGTCCCTCTCATCACATGTCAATTCACTTCTGCCAATCGAGACAGGACATCACACAGAGGAAGCCTCGTTGGCGAGGAATGTTTCAACAATTTGGATGAAGAGCTGATTAATAACACTTGTTCTTTGTACCATCCTTCCCATTCTTCCCATCCTTGAGTGTCAGCTTTCTGATCTGATTTATGGGGACATAAGAGACATACAAGGACTGTCACTCTACAGCAGCATGAATACAATAGACCTCAAAAATGAGTCCATGTAAGTTGGAGGGAAAAGTCAAAGTGCCTTTGCTCGCAGGGAGCAAGTAAAACTGTCCTGTACAATGATGACTGTTAAAGAAGTATTGGTATTGCTGTTCTGAATAAAGAAACGGACACCGAATGGACTAAAGTGTTGGTAAATAATAAGCAATAGACAAATCGGTGGTTTACTCACATGGTAATGTAGAACTTTAAATGTGTTCAAAATGTGATTAAAGAAACACTATTTAGAGATTACAGACTGTAGTTTTGTATTTAAGTAAAGTTATTTTTTATTATTTGTTTAAACAGTGACATTGGCTGAATAAAGGGATCAAACAGGTCATTTTTATACCAGGGAAAGCTAACATTTATCATAAACAACTTGCAAACTATGTTTCTGCATTTCTGTGTACAGTTGCAGCTGAAAAGGCATTGCACATAATGATTTATATGGTTTACATTTGTCTCATACTTACATGGCCAACGAGAGCAAAGTAGTCTCCAAATGCCTAGACACACCCGGAAATAGCTTTTCTTATGACTATTGCATAGGCAATTGTACAATGCATCTACCTCTGAAATCGCATGTTATTGATTCACAGCCTTATGCCCTCTTTATAAACATCAAATATATAATTTTATATATTGAGAAATATATATTTCTTAGTTTGTATAAAAGCATATCTTGCTATTAGGATGTACATACTTTGTATACAAACTGGTAAGCCTATGTTTAAATAAAAAAAATAATACAATATATTCTGTGGACTGTTCTCTTTACAAAACAATTTACACCACACATTTAAAAGCCAACTGCAGAAGTACTTTTATTAATCAAAACAGACACAATAAAACATGTTAGTATCACAAGATAATCATTAAATATGGACACTAAACAGAAAAAAATTATACTTAAGAAAAAGAAAAGATTGCTGGATCAGAAATGTGTTTTTATAAGTTTCTAAATGTTTTCTTTGCAGGTTCCTCTGTATTATGTGCAGTGAGAGCCTCTCTCTTGCAATGAGTTTTCTGATCTTCAGGCTTGTTTTTGTTTTCCAAGGAACTCTGTATTAAAAATGCATTGTTAAAAAAGCTGTCTTGCATTTTTCCCAGAATAAAAATATTTTATCTAAACGTGTCTAAACGTGTGTCCAGAAAGGGAGAGGTTTGCATTTAGATAAAGATTTTGATCTATTTAACATGTTAACAAAGAGTCAACAAGGCAATAAAATGTGTTTTGATGAGAAGAACCTGTCAACTGCGTCATTTACTTTGCGTTACTGCCATCTAGTGAAAACATACACTATTACAAATTACTAGTAACCAACCAAATTAAAATATTATCTCCGACTAAGTCAAACATTTTGAAACATTCAGCACATAAAATACTTACTTCGTTTTTATGAACTGCATGCTCAAGGGTCCATTTCTTGGCTTTCTCAGAGAACAGTTGTTTGTTGTATTTAAACTCGGAGGACTAAAGTACATATACAAACCGGATTAGGGTGTGTGTTCTCTGCCTATCATTTAATAATATTAGTTATGTAGATTTAAACTGTACTCACGATATCAGCCATCAAAGGGTCATCGGGGTTTGGTTCAGCCATAAGCAGCTGAATGGAGGTGAGAACTGTAGAGATGTTCAGGGATGGCTTCCAAGCTCCCTTAAAAAACAAACAAAAAACACCTCAGAACTCAGTACTCCAAAACTAGATATAGACAGTTGTTTACATTTGCAAACCTTAGGAGGGAGTTTGAGAGCATCATGACAAATCCGACCACAGTTGTCAATATTTGGATGATAGATGGGAGTAATGAAGCGGATATTTGGAGGTTCAAATGGATACCTGGGGGTGGATGTAGCGCAGTTATTTCATAATTGTTAGCACAGTTTGAATAGTCTTGTCATGTTCATTCACCTCTCTGGGATTTTGATTTCCAGTGAAAAGACTCCGCTTTCATATGGAGTTCCGGACCCACCAACTATTTCTATTGGGGAAAACGCATGGAAAGGGTGAAATATACTATACAAAACACACAATGTTTGTCCCATTTCAGACACCCAACCAGTCAGCTAACGAGACTTACGTGCCCGGAGCTCGTTCACATTGTCCTCTGTCTGCCAGCAAGTGATTCCTGGAGGAGGCTCAGTGCTCAGCATCTGAAGCTCGCGCTTTAAACGAGAAATTCTTTGCATTTTCTGTTCGTAAATAATAAAAATAATCCGTTTTAAGCGAAGAATAACTTAGCTGCTAGTAGCTAAGCTACATAGCAACTTTAGGCAATATGCTTTACGCAAGCTTGACTGAAATAAACTTAACTATATTCAATTTACACGGTGTTAACGCTAAAGATATGTCCCCAGTCGCGCACTAATCAAACAGGTCTGAAGTTTACAGATGTTTACAGGACTGTTCGGACTGTCACCCTGTGTTTGGATTTCCCTCTTTCTTTCTACACTTACGTCACGACGCCATGAGTTGCCAGATCTGGGCCGTCGATTTTATCCAATTTCAGTTTTTCAATCCCATTTGTCATCTCATTAAAACTCCTTCAATTATTTCACGAATCCAAAAGTCTTAAAGATCAAATCACTGCATACAGAATTTAAAAGTAAAATGTTTTATTCTTTATCTATTTATTTTTTCAATGTATAGGCCAATGCATATTTGCAAATATTGCATAGTTAATCTTTTATCTCCGGGCCCGACTATTTCTGTAAACAGTAACATGGGGGCCAGTCTCGTATGAAATGTATTGTACTCTTCTGATTTCACAGCCCTCAAGAGGATGCTCTTGGCCATACTTTGGTCCCTGGGCATAGGGTTCCGAATCACTGTCATACACGGCTTAAGGCTCTATCATTGTTATTGTGAATAGTAATGTATATTTGAATAATAAAAATGTTGATGTAAGCCAGGTGGCCAGGTCACTGGCATATAGCACCTGGTTAATGGCATATGGTGTAACAGTCAAGGAAAAGAAATAGCATCTCTATGGTGACAAGAAGGTAGGCATCTTAACACAAAACTCATTTCTGAATAACAACATCACAGGGAGACTTCAATATAGAGGCTAGTTCTTTTATTGTTGTTGTCATTTTAAAGCAGTGGCATAGATCACCTGAAAGGTTATATTTTCAGAGTGCTTGTCTTCCATTTTGACGTCACTGAATCCAGAGTTCCTCAAAGCTGCCATATACACTTCAGGTTGCCAGTTATGCAATGGCATTACTTGCTTTGAAGCCAAATAAGACACCGTAGCCAGCCTTAGAGTGGTCACCATAAACGCTCCTGAGTGATGAACACAAGGTAGAGTGCAGTGCAGTACAAGTGTCTGATATAAAAATGGTGAAGATCTACAAATATGAATGATTTATCTATTTCGACCAGTTCCAGGTGTTGCATAGCTACAAATTATGGTACACATACAAATCAAGATGCTGCCACCACTGTCCTTGATGTAAGCCATTATTGTTCAAAACTATGACTGTGGTCTCTGAAATTTATCCTTACTTTAACTTGGTGGTTATAATACCGAGAATTGTTAGAAAAAAGTTCAGCCATGTCATTTTCCTATTGTACCTGGTTTCATCACTCGATGTAACTCTGAAGTCCCTTTCCTCAGATCAGGCCAGAAGTAGTAACAATTACAGTGGAAGACTTTGTCCACAGAGTTGTCTGAAAGAGGCAAGGCTGCGACATCACAGCAATGAAGAATAACTTTACCACTGGCAATATGCTTCTTCAAAAGCATGTTTGCTTTCTGTCAAGGAAATCAGAAGTTAAAATCAAGAACAAAATACTAGTATAAAAAAGAAAGAAACAGCAGCCAACCATTTCCCATTTCGACAAAACAATTAGTTAGAAACTAAATAATGCTAAACATTATAAATGAAATTTATTACATGCATATCACCACTTGGCCATTTTTGTTTTCCAAAAGTAAACTAACTCTCTGGGGAAGTGTTGTATTGGATATATCACTTACATTGTGCATATACTCAGAGTGGTCTACTCCTATAAGTCTCCCCTTGGGGTCATAGAGCAGTTTAGCAGCTGACTGTAGACCAAGCCCAGGGCCATGTCCGACTTCAAGCACCGTATCTCCAGGCTGAATGCCGCAGAGCCTCACTGCATTCTCCTCCAACACTCTGTTCCGCTTTATGAAGAACCTGCTGACCAACCAACCTCCTATGGACCACGTGGGATGGCCCAGCTGTTTACCAAGCTTCTCAGGCCACATCTTTCCTATAAAACAAATGTTAATTGCAAAACCCAGTAGGCTTTAAAAAGCAAATTGTAGATATGTTTCAGTGACCTCAAATTCCCAGTTGGAGTGGGCGTCAAACTTTGCTTGCAGACCATCTACCAAAGAATTTAGATCCAGCGATTCTCTTTTAGCTTATATGCCTTCTTTTTCACTGGCATGGCACTGTTATTGTGGATTAATGCATTACTATCTAAACTCAACGAGGTGGTTGCTTGTATAAGCGGTTATTTATTAACAGGCTATTCAATTGCCTTACATTACGTTCTATTTCTTACAACCAATCGTGGTTTAGCCATTGACTGTGGTTGTTGCAGCCTGAGCTCTTGATAAGTTTCTGTTCCAGTTGGGGGCGGAGCATGCGACTTTTCTCATTCTCCCTGTGCGCACATGCGCACCGATAGCACCTTTTGCTCCATTTTTATTGGCAAACTTTCCTCCCTGTATTCTTACTTTTTAATGTGGTTTCTTCGGGTTTACTTCCTGGTATTTCTGTCTGTGAGTCATAAAGTGAAGCCTTTATGGCATTTCGTTAGCCTGTTCATAAAAAGAAAACAAAGAGATAAACGGACAGAACATAATATAGTTTACGATTTCTATCTTATCATGGACTGTCAAATTTTCACAAAATCAAACTCACTGAATTGCCATTGATAATTTGCAGCTGCTTCCTGCTATCATACCGCACACACCCCATTTGCTTGGGATATGTTTCTTTCGTTTTCATTTCCCGGAAGGATTAAATGTGAAATTGTGTGTCTCGGTTGGTCCTGCTTTAAAAGGACATTGTAAGTGCGCGTAGACACAATCTACAAAACTTGGGACAACATCTTGTGATTTTCCCCCCTACACTATCTGCACAAGCCTATAGAAAATGTTAATATGGAAGAAGTTTGTCCTGCAGTTTTGGTGAAGGTAAGTTCAATTTAAATGCATTAGAGAGAGGACTATAAAAAAAACTAACATTTCCCCCCTCTAAAGTTATGTTTACTTGGCATTGTAAGAACTTGAATGAATAACTGTGTGGTTGCTTTTTGTAGCAAGAGAATAAAGACCGTCTTTTACTGAAGCCACTGACACAAGGGGCGCATATTGCTCCGTCCTTTTATCACAGCCCCTCTCACCTTCTTCTAGCTGCTTCTTCTTCAATGCAAGACGACCTATGGCATTTACCTGGACGTCTGCGTAAGTTGTACCGATCTTATCTCACCTGAACTGTCACTGTATGGACATGTGTTGTATTTACCTAAAAAGGGTTTTGGACTGATCAGCTCTTTGTGGCCACAATGTATCTCTGTATTTATTTGGTTGCCATGTAAAATGAAAAACAATGTGTAGGTATAAACCCATCACTGTGGGATAAGGAGGATGTTGCCTTGTGGTTGGTCTGGGCTCAGAAGGAGTACTCTTTGCGCCCTCTTGAAAAAGGACACTTTGAAATGAACGGACGTGCGTTATGCCTCTTGACTAAAGAAGACTTTAGGCGACGCTGCCCCAGTTCAGGTATGAAGATAGTTGAAAAAAAAAATACTAGATTCAAATAAGAGTATGTAGCCTTATAGTAAAACATTAACTACTCAATAATATAGACTTTCTAATCCGTCAGGTGATGTACTATATGAGATTCTACAGTGTGTGAAACAACAAAGAAGAAAAGCTTGTGAAACCCCACAAATGCCTAAAACTTGCAATGCAACCCAAATTCAAAGCCCAGTTTGTAGCCTGATCTCCAGTCACAGCACCCAGCCTGCTCCAGCCATACCAGGTGAGTAAAACAGAAACAAAAACTGTATTCAAGAACAAGGAATCATGAATTATTTTATCACTCAAGAATCAAACTTGTTAAACAGGGAAAGATTATATGAGAATCTACTTCCTGAAAAGCCAGTCTAGTGAAAAGTTTGTTTTTGGATAGGAGAAGGATAACGCTGAAATTGTTAGCGAACTTGTCTTCCACTGAATGACTTAAAAATCATCAGAAATTGCATATCTAAATTACTCCTAACCTATTTAGCTTTATACATATTTATCAAGACAGGCTTCAATCCTTGTACCATTTGTAAAGGTTTATTGTCTGGAAAGTCAGTCTCTACTTTTGCTTTCGTTTTAGGTTTAGTTTACATTTCCCTATTTTGACAAAGTCTTTGTTCTCACCTGTGATTGTGACAGACCCTAGTTCGACCATCACTGCTCCACCACAGTGCAGCCTACGAGACCCTCCTTTAATTGTGTACCAGCCACACACTCCACTAACCCAAAATAGTGAGTAGTACTTGATTTTCACTTGAATTTCTTGGTATTGTTGATGCTATAAGATGTTTTTTAGATGAATCAACAATAAAAGCCGAGCGTTCTCTAAACAACAGCCCTGACCCAGAGCCTCTGAACCTGTCCAGTCGGAAGAGGCCACGAAGTCCTATTCAAGCAGCTAATGGGCGCATCCCGGGTATACTTTATTTTACCTTTTATAGAGGTGTACTTTTCTTACTACAATTCTATAACTTTTGCTTATACTACTGCATTTGTCTCAGACTATTTTAAACATGGACATTTTTTCTTATCAACATTTTTCCAACACTATGATGAATGCATCTTCCTCTCTCTCCCATTTTTCATGTTCTACTGTTAACAAAGCCAACTAATGATCCCAAAAAATGTTCAAAGTTAAAGATATACTATAAATATTATGCATTATGTATTTTATATATATTATACAAAATTTAAGTTTAATGTTGTTATCGCCTCAAAAATATACTTGGAGTTGTGTTTTGTTTCATTAACACATGTGAGTCTGTCTACATCTCCAAAGCTCAAAATGCTCTGTTCCAGCTTGTGATGTCATGAAGTGGAAGTTTTCATGTTAACAGCTACCTTTTATCTGTTGTTTAGTAGAAAACAAAATTCCAGTGCTGAAATCATCTAAATTATTCTTTTGAAAGTGCAAGAAGTTTAAAAACACAATGCAGCTCTTCCTGGACTACCATATGACATCACAATGTGGGGTAGAGTGTTTTCTGTTTGAGAAGAATGCTGCCTGAGTTTGCATGGTTTGTGAGTTAAACGTGTGTGAATGAAACAAAACATATCTCCAGGTATGTCTGTGATGAGAAAACAGCGTTATAACATAGATAAGAAAATACAGTAATATGGGCACTTTAAAATATGTTATGGAAAATTTACTTCTTAATGTATTAACACTGACAAACTGTTCTGTTGGTCACAGAATGCCGGCTACTGTGGGACTATGTCTATCAGTTGTTGTGCGATGAACGCTATCAGGAGTACATCCGGTGGGAGGACCCAGACAGCCTTGTGTTCAGAGTGGTGGACCCCAATGGTCTGGCACGTCTCTGGGGGAACCATAAGGTATGCTTTAGTATTAGACCTCACAAAGATTAACCAGAATACCAGAAATAGAGCAGTGCAGTAGTATAATCTTTTCAGAACCGAGACAACATGACCTATGAAAAAATGTCCCGTGCATTGAGACACTACTACAAACTCAACATAATAAAGAAAGAGCGAGGCCAGAAACTCCTCTTCAGGTACATAATACATTTACATATGCTTTTCAAATACAAAACAAATACCTTTTCATTTTGAACTTATAGATTCCTGAAGACACCCCAAGATATTCAAAAACATGTTGTCCATGATGAACCATCAGAGTACAGTCCAGATCATGACAGGGACAATGCTGACCCTAGTCCCATACATGAAGAGCACCATTTTGAATTGTCCCCTGAAAATGGCTCCCCCAAGTCTCCTCCTGCACAGACTACCCCTGTTAGATAGGGAATGTATATTATTTTGTTATCATACAAAGTAGAATAATAATTACGAGAACATTTAGTTTCAATCATGTTAATCCAGATTATTTTCATTAAAACTGTATTATGTAATACGCTGTTCAAAACATCTTACAAGGCATAATCCATAAGGTTATGCTATGCTTTGTTACCAGCAGGTGGCAGTATAATTGCACACAGACATGACAGGTAAAAGCTTTATCCTCAGTACTAAATCCAAGTGTGTGTGAGTGTGTGTGTTCGTGTGCATGTGCGTGTAATATAATAAACTGAGCAAAATCATTTCCCTCATTTCCTTTTTCATTAATACCGGAATCTTAATTATTTATATTTTTGTGTATTTTTGGTTGCTGGTGTTTATGTTTATGTAGAAACTACGAAAAAGCCACGTATTTTAATGATCAGGCTGAAACAGTGAGTAGCAGTGTTGTAAAATACCTCACATGGCCATCGCTAACGTACTATGTCAAATTGAGTGGTTGAAAAACCTCTCCCCCTGTAGTCTGAATCATTAACTAACAGTGCTATTGTAAGGCTTAGGGAAAACTTATTTTTGACTTTAATCAATAAACTATTTTGCATCATGCCTCCTGGAGTAACCAGTTGTCAGTTTCTTGAAACTCCTATCTCAATTTCGTTCTCTGGATCTGGATTCATGGCTACTTACCAGTTAGGAGTAGCTCAGTGCCTTTTAAACTATGCACCCTGGATTTTAAAAACTGCTCCCCGTGTCCTTGGTGCCTCTGCTGGATCACTGGTAGCGGCTGCTGTTGTCTGTGAGATAGATTTTGGTAAGTTTTTTTTTTTTCTTAAATATTTGAACAGAGTATGTCTATAAAATATAAATATATTAAATATTAAATAACTGGGTCACTGTAAGCACAAAGGAGACTAATACAGTTGTCCGAAGTATCAGTGTATAGTGTTCTACTTTACAGTTTCCATACGGGATGAGATGTTACACTTTGCCAAAAAAGTGAAGGAGTTCAGACTTGGGCCTCTGAGCCCATCCATAAATGTGTTTCACTGGTTGGAGCAAGTACTACTGAAGCACATACCAGAAAAGGCTCACAAACTGGCCTGTGGGCGCCTGGCTGTGGCTATGACTAGACTGGAAGATGGAAAACACCTCATCATGACTGAATATCACTCAAAAGAGGATGTAGTACAGGTGAGGTTTTTTGTTTGTTTTTTTCAATATTGTTAACTGTTAACTTGGGCCAGTACTCGACTAATTTTCATGCATTTGTTTTAGGCTCTGTTGTGTAGCTGTTATGTCCCTGGTTATTGTGGCATGATACCTCCCTCTTTCAAAGGCATAGTAAGTTTCCCACCATTGTCAAACACTGAAGGTTGTGATCCTATAAAAAGTAGTTACTTCTAAATATTAAAATCAATTAGCGGTACTCAAAAATCATTGCTTTACTTCAAAGTGTTGTTAGTCTTTTTTTTTTTACTCACCTACAGCTTTTTTCTATTATAACTTGAAGAGCTATATTATACTCGTACTACAGCTACAATCCACCTGGTCTAATGCTTATTTGTAATAGGATATTACATGAGAAATACTAAATAGTAACTCAATTATGTTTAGGGCTACAGACTGAAAGTAGCGATGGAAATTTCTAGTACAGTGCTATGGCTATTTCTTTTGTAACAATCGATACATTGTCTATAAAAACAATAAATGAACTGTCTAGTTGCCTAACACTAATATTGTCTCTTGTCCCAGTACTGTGTTGATGGTGGCTTCACGGGGATGCAGCCTGTCCTCTCTCAGTGTCCCACTCTGACTGTGTCTCCATTCTCTGGGGACGTTGACATCTGTCCTGCTGACGCCCCCTGTCTGTGGGAGATGGTAGTGAGTGGGACGACACTGAAAGCTAATGGTCCCAACTGTGGTCGTGTTATCAATGCCCTCTACCCAGTGACTTTAGAGGTGAGGCCACTGAAATTGTTCTAAATTTTTGCTGATAAAATATACTGCATACTGTACAATATATTTTTTTTTTCTCCATGTAATCGCCTTAATATATAAAGATTATTATAGACTCTTAAATACTGCAAGGATTATTTGAATTTTACATTTTATTATGGCCTGTCACAATAATTACTATATCGATTTTGCATGTTTGTACATTTTCTTTGCAAAAGTAAGAACATTTGTGTTATTTTGTTGTAAAGGGAAAAAATTGGAGCTGTAAAGGGTTGAATAAGTGACTTTTGTGACTAATTATTGGTTCATTTATTTGGTGCATTTAATTATACTCTCTATTTAAAAAAATGTTTACAGGCATTTATTTTAATTGCTTTATTTTAATATCAATCAGTGGCATAAAGTAGTTTCAATATTATTGTTTATCTAATTATTTGTCTGTAGCAATATATCATGCTTCAAAATGTGTTATTGTGACAGGCCTGTTTGTGAACAGCAAAAGATGACAGTAATTGTAAAAGAGCATATGTTGCATACAAGCTCTAAATGCGTGTCACTTTGAAATATGTTTTTGTTAGTCACTGGAGGAAGCCTTCGACAATGGCTATAAAGACGCTATTAATTTCCTTTTGAAAAATGGTAAGTCAGCTCCTGCTAAAATCATTACAAATTGGCTGGGTTGATTTTCAGACTTGATTTGACTTGATTCAGATTTGATTTCAAACTTTTACCTGGCCTACAGATCTTGCTCCATGTTTAACTTTGCATAATGTAAAACCACTTCTGGAAAGCGCCAAAAGAGATACAGATGGTGAGAAGAAAGCCAGAAAATACCCTGACCACCTTCACAGACCACAAGAACATGAAAGTAAAAGATGATTCCGTTCAGTCAGAGTCTGTGATGGATTTGGACTTTATTCAAAATGGTATGGCGGCCAAGCGCACATGTAAATTTTAATAATCAAACCTAATTTTTTTATCTTACGTTTTATTTCTCACCACTTATTTCAGTCCTTCTGAGTAATATGATGACTAATGAGACCATGGTGGGGGTAACTGGAAAATTATTCTTGTACCTGCTCCTGCCCCTGCTCTTCCTGATCTTCACTGTCATGCAGAGCTGGCATAGGTAATTATTACCTCCGCCAAGGAGGTTATGTTTTTGCCGGCGTTTGTCTGTTTGTCTGTTTGTTTGTTTGTCTGTTAGCAACATAACTCAAAAAGTTATGGACCGATTTTGATGAAATTTTCAGGATTTGTTGGAAATGTGAAAAGGAAGAACTGATTTCATTTTGGGGGTGATCCGGAAGAAATCCTGGATTCTGGATCACTTTGAAATTTTAGTTAACATTGTGGTAAATGGGGCCAAAAATTTTGTTTCTCAATATCTCGGTTAATTATTGACCAAACCCCATGAAATTTGACTCAGGGATGGACAATCGGATCCTCTTTCATATTCCAAATTGAAAGATACGAGACAAATATTTATGGAAAACACAATTAATATGAGGGGGACTGTAGTAATTGGCGGAGGTCTGCGCTCTCTGAGTGCCTTTCTAGTTTATACTTTATATGATGTCAAGAATCATGTCAACTGTAATGTTTAAACCCCTCTTGTTATGTTTTGCAGATTGCAGTTTTGGTTCAGGGATTCTCCTCAGTGGATATTTTGGACTTGGGCAGGACTCAAACACTTCATTGTCTTTTTTTACCGGGTCTGCATCAGTACCATAAGGAAAAATATTGACGACAGGTAAATCTCATTAGATTTTCATATTTAAAGAAGACTTTTTTTTTTCAGCTATTTGGTATTAAACTATACCATACGTAGATCATGTTTTTACAAACCGCAATATTGATCTAAAACTAGATTAATTAGACTTGAATTCATTATAATTGACTTTTCATTTAAGAATTGACAGGTCCTTCATAGTGGCATTTCAGAGTAAAGAGCAGAAGATTTTCATTTACATTTTATTATTGCTGAAAAATATCTACAGGACTTTTTGGTAGGTGAAAACTGAAATCTTCTGCTTAAGAATAAAAAAAAAAAAATCACATATTCAGTCCCACATAAACATAACAGTTACAATAAATTGTATGAAATTACAAAAGTCATACAATGTAAATTTTAAGTTGGTATTTGTACTATATGGGAAGTTTCATCTGTATACTTTTATGTTATGTATGTTATGTTTGGAAATGCAAACCTGGCCATGCAAAATAAGTGCTTGATTTTTGTTCACAAATGTGTGTTAGAAAATAACTAGAGCACTTATACTCTGTTTGTGTTTTGTGGTTTAAGGGTGAAAATCATCATGATGATGTTTATGTGGTTCAAGTTTCATGTTGAAGTTGAGGGACCCCCAAGAACGAGGAAACACTTTGGGCCTACTGTGAAAACCTGTCCACTCCATGAAACTAAAAATGAGCCCAAATCTTTGAACCAGTTCACCAAGGAAAGCAAGAAACTAAATTAAAGATGAATACGCTGCTACATGCTCACCGCAGAGTCATTGGAGTTGCCATGTGCTTGTTTATTCATCAGCTGACTGAAGTGCACGCAGCATCTGAGCAGTAATGAGGTTTTCACAAATCGTTTCCTCCAAACCTCCACTGAATCAGTGGACACATAAGATAGTTGTCGTCGTGGTCCAGCTGGAGTTTCGCTTCAGGGCGTCCTTCTAAAGTGTTGCTAATATCCTTCAGAGGTAACATCGAGTCCTGTGATGGGCCACTTTAACACTAAACTCATTCAGAGTAGCCATGTCCTAGTGTGACACTTTTTGGAGGAAATGCTGTGAGCTAAGGCCAGCAAGAAATAACCATAACATTACCACAGTGACTGTCATTCACGTTTTGTCATGCTTGTCTGGAATGTAATTATATTGTTTTAATGTGTTTTTATTATGCAACATAGATCGTAAAGTGTGCATTATGTTCTTCAGCTTTATATCAGCAGATCATGCAGGCTTACTGCACAATCTTCAGTCTTTCTTTTTAGCATCATTCTACAACACAAAGTCAGAATTATTAAGTTTGTTTTGTTGTACATTGTATTGCAATAATGTTCAAACTTTAGTATTTCATTAGTAAAAGATATCATAATAAAATATCTTAATATTTATATAAAATAGCTTGCATGTCTTACTCACCACAAGATGGAGCAGGTTGAAAATGTTTTTCAGGAACACATTTTTAGAAGGTAACAAAGTCTGAGTTGCTGGTTAAATATTGAGTGTAACAGAATTTGGAGCATGTTGAGAGTAATAGAAGAAGCAAATAAAACATATGTGAAGCTTGATTAAAATTCCTAGCCCTAATGTGGGATATTCCACATGTGTCTAGCAACTTTATGGAATGTTTAAAACTTAATAATAGCCCAGCACATATTTTATTTACCTTGTAGCCTTGTCTGCTCATTATCACATAGAGCTGTTTATATGTATATGTGCTTTATACTTTTATAGCAGTAGCTTACACATCTAGTTATAGTCTTTAGCTCAATCCTACCAACTGTTAATTTACATTTAAACTCATGAGTAGTTTATATGCCATAAAATGCCAAAGGTGACTATTTTCCATCTGGTTAATAGTTGATGCTCCTTATACTGTATGTATATGTGAAGGTATGTGTTCAGTCTATGGTACCTTTCCTCAACTAGCATGGAGGCTATATTTAACTTTGAATGTGTATTTCCCTGTCTAGTACCAAGTATTTAGACAGACTGGACTGGATTTAGACAGAGCCACACTGACATTAAATTAATGAATTCATTCATTTTAGCTGGTGAGCGTGGATCAGTATCCATCACTTTGCATGGACTAAAATCTGTTTACACCCAATTCATGGGGACCTGCCTCCCTTATGAGGACAAACATCAGGTCGCCATGATGTAAATCTTTTATATTTAAAGCAACATTATCATTTAAAGGAGATGTAGGAAGCACACGCTCTTACTGTTTAAAGGTATTGCAATCACTTGCATATAGAGAACATGTAAAAGATGGTCTCACTCTCAGTCCAAGGACAGCATATAGGCCACTGATGAAGCAGAGGGAGCGCTACCACGAAATAATGATTGAGAAAATTATAAGTTAAGTTCAAATACAATACAATTTAATACAATAAGGTTAGACAGATAGTGACTGTGGTAAAGATTAAGATTGGTCTGAAGAAATGAATGTAAGTCAATGTAATGTTCCCAAAAAGCATGGAAACGCAACATGTGTGCGTGCGCTTGTGAATGCTAATATTTCCGGACATTGTTATTGGCAGTGAGCTTGAAGAGACCATTTGATGACTGTGCCACATGTTGACATTCACACAGCTGGCCTATTACCTGTCCACTGATCCTCTTACATAAGGCCTTTGGGTGGATCACAGAATAACCCCTCCATCTGCTGCTGCCACACACCAGACACTGATCTGGCCAGTCAGAGCCGAGCAGCCGGAGAGGCCTTTGGTGGATTTTGGTGAACACTAAACTCTGAAGTATGACCCAGCTCAAATATGCATGTGCTTTGAAAGTTGGCAGTGTGATTAAGTTTGGTAATATCTATCTTTGTTCTACTTGGGCATCAAATATTGATTAGAATGAGACTAAAATTAGTCTGTCTGCTTCCTGTTGCTCTGGAGATGACTGGGACTACATGACCTTTTCTGTAATCTCATTTGGCAGCTTGGAAATTTGAGCATAATTAAGTAAGGATGTCATACTAGCTTGTTTGGGTTGTAAAGTTGTTTACTTCCCCTTTTAATAACAAAAGGTGAAGATTGTGATTGCATTTATCTCGTTTGCTAAAACTTACATTCTATTTTGTGCCTGAGGTGATTCACATGGCAAATAGCTTGTCAAAAACTTAACAAACAATAATTACAATTATAGTCTTTTAGGCATCTGCAGGCGATTTAATAACACAATTTCAGCTTCATCAGTTTAGTTCAGTGAATTATATTGCCACATACAGTATATGCATGTAAAACTAACAGTAGCCTAGAGTCATTAAGATATTTGAGATAGGAAATTGGACTAAATTAAGTTGCAATTAAGAAAATGTTTCCTCATAGGTATTAATATAGATTATTTAGTTAATAGTATAGTCTGATGGAGGTCAAAGGTCTCTGTGTGTGCAAGTCTCCGTGTTTGTTTAATGGTTAATCTGTAGGAACAAATTATACCATCACAGATGTTGTTGACACTTCAATTCAATGTTCTATTTGCATCACGCTATGACCTTCCCAACTCCGGTGTTTTTCTCCATCTTACTTTGAATGTCAACTGCCATCTTTTCCTAGTAAAACCATGTGATGTACTGCTGCATTCATTGTGACGTTAGTAACACATCAGTTTGAACTTGCCTGGCCAGTGACGAATTGTTCCAAGAAAATTTACAAATTCAAGGAAACCTTTTGTTTGAACTAGTGCTGTTTTTTTCTTGCTGAACCGTCGATCAGCTTGAGTGATGATGTTTTAAAAGCCTTATCTCAAACTGATTCATTTTCTCTCAGAAGTCATCAAAACACTATGTATGCTTGCTTACACAGTTTATTTGAGTCTTTAAACTGATTGATGTGTGGTTGGTCAATTTGATTTCAAATTGAGAGGAAACCTTCCACAGCAGTTCACAAATAGCTCTTGATGCTTAGTTCTACTTTCCATTTTCTAACATAAAACCTGACTTATAATTGAGAAAATGAAACTCAGACATCTACCCACACTGCACAATGTGTAGAACAATAATGCTACTGATGTTTTTCTGTTATAAACAAACCTGTATAAATCAGATGAGCAACATCACATGACCACTCTGAGGAAGACTGCTAGTTAGTGAACAATCAGATCTGTCAGCTATGAAAACAAAGTAAACCTTGGTCTGAAAAAATAATAAAATATAATAAAAATATATTATTAACAAACTCCACCACTTGCCTGGTGTCCTCCCTGAGCCTTCTCAATGCTGCATATCTCTCACTGTTGTGGAACTTTCCATCAAAGCCACTCGTTAATGATAGAGCAACCTCATGCATGTTTCAGCACTGGACAGGGATCTTCCACTGGGCACAAGCAGCACTTTTACACAAAACAGAGACAAACATACAAAAACAGGCTCATGCGTTGTATATCTACCAATTCAAAGTACTCTAATAAGAATGCACAAACTCCTTTTCTGCTTTTCAGTTTCTGCTCTGAGTTTTATAAAGTAAAGCAGGTCTGCAAATCAAATAATGCAACATCAAAAGTAACACATAAAATGGTCTTGCTTCAGTAGTAATTCCATGTAGGATGAGAAATATAATGAAATGTATGCATAACAGGGGAAGTGATTGAGAAATATTTATTATTTATAATGGGTAATCCCTCAGCTCATTTTACTGATTACAACTTTGATGAGGTATCTAATGACGGTAATGGAGTACAATTTTAGACGTTTTCCAAACCCACTCAGCAATGTAATCGTGCCAGACACCTCATGTTAGACTCATCTGTTGAAATTACTGCCCACAACAGATGTGGGGTGATTTTCTAAGACATTTCCAAATACAATACATAATTCCATAATATCCATCTTTTTATATAACAAGTTAACTATAATTTCTTTAAAAAAATAACTAAATTAAATATACAACAACTTTTAACGGTGCATTGTGTAACTTTTTTGGTGGAAGGTCCATCAAATTCTTTTCTACATGGAGATGTTAATCCTTTGTCTAGAATATTCCACAGTATGGCATTAAACAATTCTATCATCATGCAGGCCAAATGAGACGTTATAGGTCAGATCTATGGAGAGCCAACCCCGGTCACAGTCAGTTTTGTATGTATGTATTTTTGAGCAATAAAACCTTCTGTAATTGAATAAATATAAGTTAGATCTGTATAATGTCATACTGCGGAACATTCCAAGCAGAGCAATGACATATCCATAGAAACAAGCAGGTGATGGAAGTTGCATAGTGCATCTTTAACAAAAAATAAATCTTATCAATATAAAACAATCCTAATGAACAACTTCCATCCCAGTACGTTTTTATTTCATGTCACAGTTGTGTGAGTCACGAAGTGTAAATATTTGGTCAAGCAAATCAAATTTAGTTGACTAAAAATGATAAACAGACTATTGGTAAAAATTGCGTACAATGGATTTTGCTTTGGTTGAACACACTGTGAATAAAGCACATGTGATTAAAGACGGCTACCTTTTGTGTATAGATCTCAAATGTCACTTGTAACCTACTTCCAGAGCATATAAGGTATCTGTCTGTCAGTGTGTGAGCGGCGGTCAGGTAGCGTGTGAACCCAGCCTCCTCCATCGTCACACATGCAGACCTCTTTTCTCCCTTTTCACTGGCATTCTCCTTTTCCATTCCCTGACCTTGTATGTCCCAAATGTTTTAAGACAACCTGATAATAAGGCCCATCATAAGAAATATTTTAACTTTATGATATAATAGTAAACCAGCTTTTGTTGTAGGTCACACAGACATACATTTTTCACATTTTTTCTTCACACTGTTGTGAGTAGACACCATGCAAATGATACATTTTATACTTAAAACTATTAATGACAGTTAGAAAATGTGCTTTCAGAGACAAAGGTTAGTACAGTTTTGTATTGAGTTTGACTTGATTGATTGGGTTCAGTTTCAGACCTTTGTGACAACTCTGAGGACTTGCACTGACTTGGACTCAAATACTATGACTACGACTACAACATTGTCTTCTGCCCCAGTTTTTGTAGTCCAGTGACGCAGCATCATGAGGTGAAGTGAGCTAGCACTACAGTTAGCACTTAAAAAGAACAACTGCATTTGTGTAACTGTGCATCATTTACTGAAAACATTTACATACATACTCAAGTACAGTGTAAAGTCATAAAATGATTTAAAGCGTGAACACAACAACAAGGCTTTCCCTTCTGCTTGATAGTTTTGCACAGCAATGGCATTTAGTACACAAACAATTCTTACAAACAAAATTCTAGATATGATGATATAAGAATAGAAAATAGTTTCTTCAAGTGAGTTATGGAATTCATCAAAAACACAGATACAGATAATGCAAACTTGTCCAGTGATTTTTGATAGCATCATGGGAAACTAAGTGCTGTCCATTTCATGTTCTCTAACAGATGTAGAAGTTAAAAAGAAAAGAAATAGATCCATTCACTTCCAACATTTGCCCTGATAAAAAATACTGACAACATTGATAACGGGTAGGCTATTGAGACTATGGCAAAATCATCCCAATAAGGCACTCCTCTGAAACCCGAGCCAGTCACACTGCTGGACTTCAGTCCTTGCTACAGTTATCACAATGTGAAGACAAAAGAGATCCATGATGGAGTAGAGGTCTTCATGCAAAAAGGTAGTTGCCATACTATTTGCTACAGAGAATGTTAATCTCACTCTTAACCAGTGATTCATTTTCTTCTGTTTGTGACAATGTCGTTGAGTCCATCTGGAGCTGGTACCAGTGCACAGGAATACCTCGCTGGTGGATGAGCAGGTCTAAAGCAGAGGTTGAATGCCCAGCCAAATAAGGGAAAGGTTCCACCATAGTCATTCGAACCAAACAGTGAGTTGATAACAGTAAATTGTTGCATAGTAAAAGGTTTATAAATACTACTTTGGTATTGTATAAAATAATGAAAATAAGGGATATCGCATCTTACAGACCACCTCAAGTATTTCATATGGTTTACATTGGTGTTAGTTTATTTTATACAAAGTTTGTGTTATCAGTGTCTGGATATTTTGACAATTTACAATTGCTACCACACTGACGTAGTGCTGCTATTTTACTGATTCAAGCCAACAGTAAAATACCAAAGTAGTAAAACTAACCACTGAAACATATTAGGCTATTTATATTCATTTCTTTTGAGGTATGTCTGGTATCTTAAATAAATTTTGTCCTCTGATCAGTTACAAAGATCTTTCCATAATAAAAGTTGATTTCTTTCTTTGTTATTTCTTTTTGCTGTTCGGCCATAAGCCGTTAAGTTTATTGAGTGAGGTGTTGCTACTTTCTTTGTTAGAGTCACCCTGTTTTTTAGGGTCACCTTTCAATGCCTGCTCAATTGCATCTGAAAAGGGTGTCTTGTCCTCAGCCTCTGTCTCCCTGTGGTAGAAGTAGTTGAAGTTGGAGACAATGACAGGAACAGGCAAAGCTATTGTCAATACACCTGCTATTGCACACAGTGTCCCCACCATTTTCCCAGCCATGGTTATCGGACACATGTCTCCATAACCTACCGTGGTCATAGTCACAACAGCCCACCAGAAGCCGTCTGGTATGCTGACAAACTGAGTGTTAGGCTCATCCACCTCTGCAAAGTATATTGCACTGGAGAAGAGGATAACTCCAATGAAGAGAAAGAAGATGAGCAGCCCAAGCTCTCGCATACTGGCTTTTAGAGTTTGTCCCAATATCTGCAGGCCCTTTGAGTGACGGGACAGTTTAAATATACGAAATACCCTCACAAGTCGAATGATCCGCAAAATGGCCAAAGACATATTCTGTCCTGTGCTCTCTGCTGGTGTAGTTGCCAGTTCTGTTATCAGTGTTATAAAATAGGGAATGATGGAGATGATATCAATAGAATTCATAAGATTGTGGAAAAATTCCCTTTTGCTTGGACACGCCAGAAAACGCACACAAAGCTCGAAGAAGAACCAAGCAATGCATGCTGTCTCAATTATAAAGAAAGGGTCATTGAAAGGAGTCGCCTTCCCTCCAAATAGGGATTCCCCATCTTGATTTCTCGTTTTGTTAAATGGATGTACTGTGGTGGAAACAACTGGATCCAGCTCATCTCGGAATTCTGGTAGTGTTTCCATACAGAAAATAATGATTGATATGATGATAACAAAAAGTGACACAAGCGCTACACCTCGAGCAGCGTTAGAAGATTCAGGGTACTCAAACAAAAGCCAGAACTGTTTTTTAATGTCATGTGTGGGCAAAGGGACCTCCACATCCTTTATAAAACCTTCATCTTCTCTGAACTGTTCCATAGCCTCAGTCCCAAGCTCATAGAATATGATCTCATCAGCAAACACGTCCAGAGGAACATTGGCTGGTCGCCGAATCTTTCCTCCTGATTGATAGTAGTATAAGATCCCATCAAAACTTGGCCGATTTCTATCAAAAAAATACTCATTCCTCATTGGGTCAAAGTACTCCATTCGTTTTTGAGCATCTCCCAGTAGTGTCTCTGGAAATTGATCTAGTGTTTTTAATTGGGTCTCAAATCGAAGCCCTGCTATGTTGATGATAACTTTTTGATCTCCATCATCAAGCCCACGTTTATCAACAAATAGATCCTCACAACACTCTTTTGCAAGTCGACTGAAGATCTTCTCACTTTCCTTACTGCCTTCACTGCTAAGGAGTAACTTCCAGCTCGATAGCATGCTAGCACAGCTGGTGCGCCCCTGTCGACTGGGGGTTGGCAGTGTTGGAGAGTGTGGGATACTGACTCTGTGGGCTTGTGGAGGGGGGCAGGGGGAGTTGGACTCCCAGCAGCATGAGGGCAGGTGGCTGGGAGAGGCAGAGGCAGCAAACTGAGAGGCCCGTCTGAGGTAGTTACTGGGGGGGACACTACAGTCCTGGGACAGGTCTGCAGTGAGAGCGGTGGTCTCGTCTGCAAAGTGATCCACCTCATTCTCAGTGTCCTCAAGGCTCTCAAAGTCGACCAGGGCCACCTCCATGGCTCCGGTTCTGCCACTGTCACCCCACCAGATTGAGAATGTAACGTTCTCACTCAGAAAAAAACAGTTGGTTCAGGGAGATGATTTACTGTCCAGTCTTCAGCAGGACCTTGAAAGGAAAAACACAGAAAACAGTTAGGCAATTTTGGTTATTTTGATTAATTTATTTAATATGATTATTATTATTTTTCATGTTCCCTGCTCTGAGAATCAAAAAGGTGCACAAACCCATCATGATCCCAGTTTCTGTTGAGGCTGCAGTAGAAGACGATAGTGTCTCAGAACTGGGGCTCTGCATATATTATTACATAATTAACTGGCTGAGAAGTGATAGCCCAGCTCTAAGTCAGACACCACCATAATCTCTTTAAGCTTAAGTTTATCTGCTGAAAATGAAGCTGCACTAGCATCAGTTTTACCCATATCAACATGTTAGTATTGTATAGGTTTCGCCCTATAGTGTGGCTGTCTGTGCTCTCTAGTTCTGCATGCACAGAGCGGAGTGACGCTGGAAATGTTTAATTAACATGAGTCACCACCTAAAACCACTGATACCAATCCTACTGCAGACACACTGAGAGGAGATGAGAAGAGCTGTGCTCAAAGTGCTAAAAAATATACTCTCGTAAAACTACTCTAAGTAGAAGTACTAGCAGCACTATACCACCTTTACTCAACTGCAATTGATTCTGCTGTACAGCTCCCGACAGGTGCCATTTTGTCAGTGCGAAACAACTGTCTAAACAACTCGACTCCTGAATAAACAAATCTACTCCTGAAGATAACTACAAAATCTCATGATTACTTTGTGTGAAGTGGCAGGTTACAAAAAGGATGAAAATGGTGTTATCATCATTTTGAAAGTAATTTAAACCATACAAGGATACAAGGATCCGAGTACCACCAGGACGGAATTAGGCCAGGTTTAAATTAGCACACTTTTAACACTTTTGTTCAGAAGTTCAAGGGCTACATCAACGCAGATATGCATTTAGGAAGACAGATACAATGATACTAAAATTCCCTCTAAATTAAGCAAAACTGAACTGAAGATATTTACCATCAGAAAGAACTGGTGTACCACCAGCAGTTTGGGAATCACACAGTGCAGGCATACAATTACAACCAGTACTATCAACTTCCTTCAAAAATGTTTAATCCTTTCATTATTCATTCAACATAAAAAAATTCATTCCACTGGCCAATAATGGGTATGTTTAAAAAAATGTATGTGTGTGTGTGTATATATATATATATATATATATATATATATATATATATATATATATATATATATATATATACACACGCACACACACACACGCACACACACATATATACATATATATGCAGATATATATATCCCCAGGTGTTGCTAAAAATAGTTAATAAAAATAAAGTATTTCTTTCCTGTATAACTGAGCATTACACTTTATTCACAAAAAAGATGTATGTGGTTACCTGTCAGACAAAATACAACAACTCTCAAAACTTCTGAACTTTTCTCTTTGAAGGCTGGATTGTCACGTGACCCTCAGACCAAACAGAATTTGTATAGAGCTGAAAATAGTAGCTCTCAGTGCTCCCTCCCTTAACAAACAATTAGCAGTATCAAAAGGCTATTGATATTTGTAAAAAAAAAAAAAAAAAAAAAAAAAAAAGCTTTACTGAAGAAAGTGTAGAACAAAACACAAAACACAAAACTTCTCTTGACATCACAACTGGGTTGTATCAATTGATAGAAATCCAGCAACACAATTTTAAAAAAAACTGACAATTTTAGGAAAAATTTTATTTTTAGTAAAGTCATTTTAGTTTATAGTTTTAGTTAAGTAATAAATGGCGCTTACCCCTTGACACCACATGGGACCTAAAGCTCTCATCATCAGAGCAACACAAAACAGGAAACAAAATAGACAGAGCAGATGCTGTGTGCTACCTCCTCAATCGAGATCAGAATGACTAATCTATCACAGACTACATTGGGGTAACCTTACTCTGCAGGAGAAACCAGAGCTGTAGCAAAGGCCAGCGCACACTTGCACACACACATGCAAACAGACACATGCTGAGAGGCCTTTCTCATTAAACCCAAATGAGTGCTCAAAAAGACTGTCTGCCTCTAAACGCCTCACACACTGACGTATGACATCTACACTGAGCTAAACCTATTCAAGTCGAGCAAATTAAATGGACAATACAAGATCTGCCATGCTCCATCGACCAGAACACTGTGATAAGATCCCTATTAGATCTTCACGCTTGACTAGCGCCACAGACACAGCCCATCACCATATCGGACTTATTTACAGTTTCTAAATAAAAGATTCATGTTTAACAACTCCATTACCATGTTCAACAAGACAAGTGAAAAATGAGGATCTGAGGCCATGTATAGGCATATGATAATACAGGGACATCTGACCTACAGCATGTTTAACATAGTCTTATAGAATTAAACATAAAAATCAGAGCTGTAGTGGATGAAATGACCTCTCAAACATGGTGGTGGCAAAAAGTGAAACATAATCTGTCGAGGGCCCCCAAGTGTTTCCAAGTGCAGTCACAGAGGTCAAAGATAATCTGTGGCCAAGGCTTCAGACACACTCACTATATTCTCATGCACAAGGAGTCATTACCTTGAGAGCTTCTAACAATTCATTTAACAAGTTTACTTATGTACCTATTAGACTTTTAAAATGGAGGGCAGGGAAATTTGTTTTTACTATTATTGTTGTTCCTGTGAAAAACTGGTCACGTAAGCCAAAGCTTGTAATACTCTGAATATATAATTTATAATACTTTTACCAATGGATAACTGTTAGAAGTTAATAGTCCATACAGAAGTCATACAGCCCTCATACACAGGGCCCTGCCGCTTTGACCTTACTACGAATAGTCACTCAGGGTTAGCTCTTTGTTGTAGAGAGAAAGTGTCCAGACTAAAAACAAACTGAAAACCAAGTAAAAATAGAAGTGTGAGATCTGAAGAGGAAGTTCAACAATTTCTAAGTTTAATAAACACCCAATAGCAGTGGCTTGAATTGATGGGACATCGATGAAAAATTTGAAAGAGTATGAGGCATATAAGACAATGGGCCCGATCTTGCCCATGATCTTAGCGCTAGGGCTAGCGTTAAGGAGGGGGCATGTGCAGGTGGGACTGTACTTCGCTGCTGGAGGATGGAGTGGGACGGTACAAGTACATATATGGTGATGGCATCTCAACCAATCTGTGACTGCTGTGGCGTTTAAAAGCACTACCAGTGTGGATAATGTCTGCAGTCTTTGCCTCATTACCAGACAGCAAAGAGGGTGTGGGGAAAAACTAAATATGGGTACAATGAAACAGCTCCAGAGCTCCACGATGCAAGTGCACACCAGTATAGCCGCCAGGAATATAAAATTTTGGATGGGCAGTGACAGAACTGGCTCGGTTTGTGTTCCGAACACTCCACATGCATGTTCGCCCCTCTCAAGCTCACCCACTGCTGTAAGCCCATGCGCGCACACACATAAACCTTTTTAGTTTTCTGTGTTCCTCATTTCATTTGCTTCCCATTAAGCAGCAGACCAGTGTCTATCTCATGCGCTCTTCATCTCACAACAGACCACTGTGCGCTGCTCTTCCCCTGGTCGCACCTGCTCCCGCCCGTCCAGCAGTTCGCTACCACGGACTCTCCTGAGGTACAAGTTTCCAATGGTGCTATTGCTGGCTGCTCACATTCTCGTTTCAAGGGTGGATATCTGGCGGATTATGGAATACGTTTATTGTCATATAAATATCAGTGATGTTATCACTTTGCTCACAGGCATGGATTAAACCATTAACACACAGGGAGGGTGACTGCACAACATGCATTTGTCATGCACAAGTGACTAATATGCACCATGAGCACAGAGAGCAGGATGCACAGGTGTTTGTACAGAGCAGGGCTCATGTGCACTATAAGTCTCTTGAGCCGCTGTAAAAAGTCTACTGACCACTGCTGCCAAGAGAGCACCATGTACAAGATGTGCATCCGCTCCGAGCCCCGAGCTGTCATTGAATGTGCGCACTGATCCCTCAGAGTCCGGTGTTCACACCGGCAGCAAGAATGTGAGGAAAAGCTGACATCACAGCATTAGAAACGCAGACAGGGTAAGAAAACACACCTTAGGACATCGCAGTAAACAGCCTCATGTGAATGAGCAGCTTTTGTACAGATCCAGATCAATTTGAAGAGGGGAAGGAGTTGTGCTCTGCTGTGCGAGGGCATCCGTATGGCGCACGAACATCCCACAGCAGACAAATATGTTATGAATGTTAAGCATTTATCATCCTAATATATTTCCAAATAAAAGAAGCCTTGAGCATGTTACATGGTGTTTTTTCAGTGGACTAGTTTGATATTTATTTTTACGATTCTGGCAATTTACTGAACGCGCCACACCACGCCCTCAGTCTGCTCCACTCCACCTGATATTCAGGTACAGCACACCTCTTGTTTAAAACTCCATGCCCCACACTTGTGCTAGTGCTAAGATCGAGGACAAGATCAGGCCCACTGTATACAGTTTCATGTATACAGAAACAAACAGATAACAAACTATAATGCAAAAAATCCAAGTTTCCTTTTCTGATGTTATCACATCAAATTCACTCTGCTCTCTCTGTAAATGCTCTCCTGCATTTACTCTATTCTATACTTGACTTGTCAAAGCTTTTAACGCTCTTAATGTCACAGGCGGCTCCATTTATACAAGCTTGGAACCAGCACAAAGAGCACACACACACACACACACACACACACACACAGAGTGACTGTGTGAAAAATTTAACAAATCATAAAGTGCCCTTTTGCACAGCTAACCCTTGTGACATCCCCACATGTCTGTAAACATGAGCAGATGTTCTGCCAAATCTGCCCTAAGAACCAGACAATCCTTTCCGGCAGTCTATATTTATTTTTATTCATATCAACTATATTTAAACCATTATGGAGAAATATGCAGATATATTTCTGAGTAGTGATTGGGGCTTATGATATGAGAACCTAAACATCTGTGCATTCTAAATCAAGGAAGTAAAACTGGTAATATCTTTAAGATATCCGCAGCTGGAAGGCTGATCTCCCTAATCTCTTTTGTACAAATGTATTAACACGCAACAAGGTATACAGGCATTTGTAGTGAGTAAGCGTGCAGTCCAGTCAGCTGAGTCACAGTCTACACGTGTAGGTTCACAAGAATGGAGGATAAACTTATATCTGCACAAATGGATGAGACAAGACCTCATGCCACAAAATGTCACAAGATAAAATTCCCATATGATTTTGTTTACATTTAATACTATCACAAATGGGTTTAATGCTAAGTTCCATATAAACCAAACAAAAGTATGGCAGCAAAAGTAAAATCAAAATAAATCAACACTGACTTTTCCAACTTAAAACCCATATTTCTATCATCATTAAAAGGAACTAATGACATTGTGCATATCAGTTCCAGAGAATATAGCAGTTGATTAGATAGTAATTAAAAAAGTCACTACAATAAAAGAGTAGTTTTTTAAACTGTTCAAACAGAGAATTAAATAGAATTAAAGTTGGAAAGCACTAAAATTCACATTATTATTCACAATATAAAACTGATTCATGTGTAGCAGTGTTAACATGTTTCACATTACAGAGGAGGTAACATCTCGCAGATTGGACACCTTTGTCCTTCACCCTTAAATATGTCTAATGTACAGAGCACATTGTCCAGATCATTAATATTGCATATGGTTGTCATACTCTGTTTCACTAATTAGGTGACACACTTCGCCTCATCCTTAATCTTTAGCGTTGCAAGTTCACTTCATGTTTTTCTGTCACATTCATGAATGATACACACAAGGATAATCCTAAAACACCTCATATCTCATTTAAATGATCCAAACAATAATGATGAAGAATTTTTACGCTATTGTACATACCCTAATAAGGTTAATCCAGTCATGTGATCTTTATTTGAAATTGTGAATCTGATTTGTAATATTACATAACTATTATATAGTGTGATGATACTAACATTTCAAACTAAATTTAAGGGAATGGCTTGATACCAATTTTGATACCATAATGATCATAAAAAATATATTTTCCTAGACAATAATACAATATATTTTTCAGCACAAAATAATATATAGTACTAGAATAGTATAATATAGTACAGTATAGTACAGTACAGTGCAGGACAGTACAGTACAGTACAGTACAGTATAGTACAGTATAGCACTTCTTTAATATTCTGTGGTCTTTTACTAGTTCTGATGCAGAGCAAGACAAAGACCAAAACTATTCAGAAAAAGTCTTGTCATTCTGTACTGATTCTTGTTCAGATTAGTATGAACTAGATTTAGTATCAGTTAGGTTGGGTTTTGATACTTCTGACAATTCTAGATTATAGTCATTTAGTACAGAGCAAAACAGTTCCAGTTACGGACAGCACAAGACAGAAGCACCTTTGGACCAGCAGATGTTACGTTGTTATTTGTGCATTAATACATGAATGTACATGAAAGTCATCTTATCTGGTGTCCATATGTTAGGTTGGAGATTTGCTTTAAGTATCTGAGAGATGTTCAAAGAGGTTGTTGATTGTGTGTTTGCAGACTGCAACCCAAATCCTGGTACACAGCAGCTGGGCCCAAAATCCTCCTTTGGCCTTTTGACAACTGCTGTTTGTTCATGTTGAGAACTACACACACATAGATACACATAAACTAGTGTATACCAATATGTCTGCATGTACAGGAGGAGCACACAGGGACAGTCACATCATGTTTTCTAACAGTTAAACAAAAGCAAAACAAATATAATTTTTGATTCTCTAGTATGACTGTTGAAGATGTCTGTATAATTTAAGCATAATTTAAAGATATTTTGATAGTAGGTACTGATTACTACTTTCTAATTTACCTGCTTGGATTAATAATAATAAGTCTCATGTTTGGAAATATTCGTGCCTATGTTCCCACAGCTCTATGTTCCCATAGCCCTGTTTTGTCACATTTTAACATTATTTGTGAAAGTAAATGACCTACCTTCACCCTGGCACTTTCCTTAACCATAATCTCTAAACCAGGCCCTAAACCTAACCATTACGCTACAACCCAACAAATGTTGGAACATAGAGCTGATCTCATTTCATTGTGTTCATGTCACAGAACTTTCTGTAGAGACATTGCATGAGCCCACAGCTGCTATAGCTGTTTACAGGCTAATTGCCATAAGCTGTATAAGCATGGCAGCTGCCCTCTTATGTTAAAAATTTACAATATAGAACAAAGAAACGTTGTTTTGTTTTGTTTTTTGTAATTGCTGTTGTAACTTTGTACCATATGATAGTTAACATATTTGCATCACATTTGAAGATCAAGGCTGCACTTGTTTATTGTTGTAGGCTATGTATTTAAGTACATTTATAACATGATTTTACATTACACTATTATAGTAAGCTGCCTATAGCACACTGCACTCAGAGTATAGGGATTACTGCTAGAATAGCAGCACTTAAAGGTCAGGTATCACCTCAAGAGTCTTAACTAATTCACGCACAAAGTACAGCGAGCATCCCCACCATACACCCTACGGAAGCAGATTAAAGCTCTCATTTAGAGAACAGAAATTATATTAGAGGGGCGCAGATCAGACAAGGACAGTATGGGCATCTGTTGTGGCTCTGTTCCATATCACTAATGTTAAGTAGAAATGAGTAAAGGGGAGCGTGCGCAATGAAGACCACATGATACCCTGTGAATGAACCTGCTTTTAAAAGAGAGGGTCATGTAACACACTTCTGGACACCTAAGCATTCACCAAACACGTTTCAACGGCTACAACCTGTTCACTTTTTTATAAGTTTTTACTATTTCATTTCGCAACAGCAACAGATAACAATATATTGTGCAGAACCACTTGGCGGCGTAAACAATGCAATTCGTTTGAAGCGTTTCTTTAAGAAAGAAATAAAACGAAAAAAAAAACAACACGACAAAACGAGAAAAACAAGACAAGAGGTGTTCTATTGTAAAGTCGAGACTGTGGATGGCTGTAAGATGAAAAGTTACCTTGTTTTTTGCCTTCTCAGAAGTCACGTTACTACATTAGCCAAACTTTGTCCCTCGGGATGCACCGGTCATGGTGTCCGGTGCGCACAGGATGGAGTGTCTGCTGCGCGTGCCCTGTCCTCTGCCCCGCTCAGACGGTTGTCACAGCGGAGGAAGTGCTCCGGCCAATCAGCCACAAAGGGCCAGATGTGACCGTGATATAACGCCGACAACATGGCAATGATTAATTTGGCCAATTGTCCACAAGCAGTAATCCTCCTATCCCTGGTGTTCTTTAGCTGTCATGCACTCTGAACGCAAGAGGCAGTGAGCGGGAGGGGAGAGGAAGAAGATTAGAATAGGATTGTTTCCTATCCTTTACCAAGATGCTTTGTGTTTCATAGCAACTGGACACACCACAACTGCCCCAGTATCCTGTTTCATGCAAACTACTAAACATACATAGAACATCGAGTTATACTCTTATAATTTACACTTTGCCGAGCACACTTGTAGGGCAATCAATCTTTTTTTTAATTTATTTTTATTAGTAAAAAAAAAACAAAAAACTTTTCTATATGCAATTTTGCTGAAACACGAACTGTCGCTTTAATACGTACAATATAACGTCATGTGAGCTTCCGGAACATCTTCAGTGAACTTTTAACCCTCCTGCTTTTACTCCAGACGAAAAGTGTCTACCGTCTGCTGGACTTTCGGCAGTTCTGAAGCAGGGTGATTACTGGTAGAATGGCTCCCTCTGCTGGTGAAAAGTGGTTACATTATTCAGATGATACTGTTTGCTGTTCGAAGGTGGAAATTGTTCTAAGTATATGCAGTAATTACATATATACGTATACATATATATACACACACACACACTATATATATATATGTGTGTGTGTGTGTGTGTGTGTGTGTGTGTGTGTGTGTGTTTCTCACCTTCCACGGTGGTTGGACTCTCTCACCCTCATTCAGCTCGGGTCCTCTACCAGAGGCCAGGCTCTCTCCAGCTCCTTCTTGAGCCCCTGGTCTTTCTCTAGTTCCTCGTGTTCCTTTTTCCTGATATTACCATCGCTTGGTATTGCGATGTCCACCACCACGGCTCTGCTCTGTTTCTTATCCACCAACACTATGTCTGGTTGGTTCGCCATCACCATCCTGTCCATCTGCATCTGGAAGTCTCGGTTGTTCTCCACAACCTTTGGAGGTGTTTCCCACCTTGATCCTGGGGTTCCAGCCCGTACTCTGCACAGATGTTTCTGTACACTATGCCCGCCACTTGGTTATGTCGCTCCATGTATGCTTTCCCTGCCAGCATCTTACACCCTTCAATTATGTGCTGGACTGTCTCAGGAGCCTCTTTGCACAGTCTACACCGTGGGTCTTGTCTGGTGTGGTAGATCTGGGCCTCTATTGCTTGAGTGCCCAGGGCCTGCTCCTGAGTAGCCAGTGCCTCTGTGCTGTCCTTCAGACCAGCCCTCTCAAGCCATTGGTAGGATTTCTTGATATCAGCCACTTCAGTTATATTCCGGTGGTACGCCCCATGTAGGGGCTTGTCCTGCAATGATGGTCCCTCCAGCATCTCTTAATCTGGACCCCACTGTCTGAGACATTCTCTGAGCCTATATATATATATATACACACACACACACACACACACACACACACACACACACGTATACACACACACACAGTATATAGCACAATTAAAGTAATTCAAGGTTTCAGAGTGCGTTAAGAAATACATTACATATTCCATCCATTTTCGTCCACTTATCCAGGGCCGGGTCGCGGGGGCAGCAGCCTAAGCAGGGACTCCCAGACTTCCTTCACCCAAGATACATCCTCCAGCTCCTCCGGGGGGACCCCGAGGCGTTCCCAGGCCAGCCGAGAGACATAGTCCCTCCAGCGTGTCCTGGGTCTTCCCCGAGGCCTCCTCCCAGTGGGACATGCCCGGAACACCTCCCAAGGGAGGCGCCCAGGAGGCATCCGGAACAGATGCCCGAGCCACCTCAACTGGCTCCTCTCGACGTGGAGGAGCAGCGGCTCTACTCCGAGCTCCTCCCGTGTGACTGAGCTCCTCACCCTATCTCTAAGGGAGCGCCCAGCCACCCTGCGAAGGAAACTCATTTCAAGCACTTGTATCCGCGATTTTGTCCTTTCGGTCATTACCCAGAGCTCATGACCATAGGTGAGAGTAGGAACGAAGACTGACCGGTAAATCGAGAGCTTCCCCTTTCGACTCAGCTCCCTCTTCACCACAACGGTCCGATACAGTGACCGCATCACTGCAGATGCTGCACCGATCCGCCTGTCAATCTCACGTTCCGTCCTCCCCTCACTCGTGAACAAGACCCCGAGATACTTGAGCTCCTCCACTTGAGGCAGGGACTCTCCACCCACCCGGGAGGGCAACCCACCTTTTTCTGGTCGAGAACCATGGCCTCGGACTTAGAAGAGCTGATTCTCATCCCAGCCGCTTCACACTCAGCTGCAAAATGCCCCAGTGCACATTGCAGGTCCTGGTTCGATGAAGCCATCAGGACAACATCATCTGCAAACAGCAGAGATGAAATCCTGTGGTCTCCAAACCGGACCCCCTCCGGCCCTTGACTGCGCCTAGAAATTCTGTCCATAAATACAATGAACAGAACCGGTGACAAAGGGCAGCCCTGGCCGGAGTCCAACATGCACTGGGAACAGGTCTGACTTACTGCCGGCAATGCAAACACAGCTCCTGCTCCAGTCATACAGGGACCAGACAGCCCTTAGCAAAGGGCCCTGGACCCCATATTCCCACAGCACCCCCCACAGGACACCACGAGGGACACGGTCGAATGCCTTCTCCAAGTCCACAAAGCACATGTGGACTGGTTGGGCAAACTCCCATGAACCCTCGAGCACCCGATGGAGAGTGTAGAGCTGGTCCAGTGTTCCACGGCCAGGACGAAAACCACACTGCTCTTCCTGGATCTGAGGTTCGACTATCGGCCGGATTCTCCTCTCCAGTACCCTGGCATAGACCTTACCAGGAAGGCTGAGAAGTGTGATTCCCCTGTAATTGGAACACACCCTCCAGTCCCCCTTCTTATACAGAGGGACCACCACCCCAGTTTGCCAGTCCAGAGGTACTATCCCCGACCGCCATGCGATGTTGAAGAGGCATGTCAGCCAAGACAGCCCCACAACATCCAGAGACTTAAGGTATTCAGGACGGATCTCATCCAACCCCGGAGCCTTGCCACCAAGGAGCTTGCCAACCACCTCAGTGACTTCAGCCAGGATGATGGACGAGTCCGCCTCCGAGTCCCCAGCCTCGGCTTCCTCCTCGGAAGATGTGACGGTGGGATTGAAGAGATACTTAAAGTATTCCTTCCACTGCCGGACAACATCCCCAGTCGAGGTCAGCAGCTCTCCCCCCGCACTGTAAACAGTGTTGGTGAAGAACTGCTTCCCCCTCCTGAGGCACCGGACGGTTTGCCGGAATCTCTTTGAGGCTGTCCGATAGTCCTTCTCCATGGCCTCCCCGAACTCCTCCCAGCTCCGAGTTTTTGCCTCCGCGACCACACGGGCTGCAGCACGCTTGGCCCGCCAGTACCCGTCAGCTGCCTCAGGAGTCCCACGAGCCAACAAGGCCCAATAGGACTCCTTCTTCAGCTTGACGGCATCCCTTACTTCCGCTGTCCACCACCGGGTTCGGGGATTGCCGCCGCAACAGGCACCACAGACCTTACGGCCACAGCCATGAGCGGCCGCATTGACAATAGAGGCCGAGAATGAAGCCCACTCGACTCCATATCTCCATATCTCTAGCCTAGTCTGTGAGAAGTCCTCCCGGAGGTGCGAGTTAAAGGTCCCTCTGACAGAGGGCTCTGCCAGACGTTCCCAACAGACCCTCACTACACGCTTGGGCCTGCCAGGTCTTTCTGGCTTCCTCCTCCGCCAGTGAACCCAACTCACAACCAGGTGGTGATCAGTTGACAGCTCAGCCCCTCTCTTCACCCGAGTGTCCAAGACACGCGGCCAGAGATCAGATGACACGACTACAAAGTCGATCATCGACCTCCAGAAGTCCAGTAACAGAACACCGCTTGGGTTCAGATCAGGGAGGAAGTTCCTCCCAACCACCCCTCTCCAAGTGTCACTGTCGTTGCCCACGTGGGCGTTGAAGTCCCCCAGCAGAACAACGGAGTCCCCGGTCGGTGCACTGTCTACCCCTCCCAAGCACTCCAAGAAGGCCGGGTACTCTGCACTGCCGTTCGGCCCGTAGGCCGGCACCACAGGGAGAGACCTGTCCCCGACCCAAAGGTGCAGGGACGCGACCCTCTCGTTCACCGGGGTGAACTCCAACACACGGCGGCTGAGCTGTGGGGCAATGAGCAGGCCCACACCAGCCCACCGCCACTCCCCGTGGCCAACGCCAGAGAAATGGAGAGTCCAGCCCCTCTCAAGGACTTGGGTTCCAGAGCCCAAACTGTGCGTGGAGGTGAGGCCGACTATATCTAGTCGGTAACGCTCAAGCTCCCGCACAAGCTCAGGCTCCTCCCCCCCCAGCGAGGTGACATTCCATGTCCCCAGATCCCTTTGCACCGGCCCCATATGGATCCTCCCGCGGGTGGTGGACCCACGTGAGGACGGCCCCACATCGCTCCTTCGGGCTGAGCCCAGCCGGGCCTCATGGGGGAAGGCCCAGCCACCAGGCGCTCACTGGCAAACACCCACCCCAGGCCTGGCTCCAGGGTGGGGCCCCGGTGACGCCAATCCGGGCGACGTAACTGGCCGCTGTGTGTAACTCATCATATGGGACCTCTGAACCGTTCTTCGTCTGACCCGTCCCCCCAGACCTGTTTGCCTTGGGTGACCCTACCAGGGGCATGAAGCCCCCGACAACATAACTCCCGGGATCATTCGGGCACTCAAACCCCTCCACCACGATAAGGTGACGGTTCAAGGATTACATATATTAAATCCTTTAAATCTTTCAGTCAGTCATGCACAACCAATTTTGTGCCTGGATTTAAACAGCGTCAAAGTAGAGGCCTGTCTCACATGTTCAGGAAGACTGTTCCAGGTTTTAGCTGTATGAATCTGAGACACTGACTCCCTGTGTTTAGTCCTGACTCTGCGCACCAACAGGAGGCGGTCCCTGAGCTCCTCTGAGTGCAGATGGTTCATATAGCACTAACATGTCAGATGTACCTTGGTGCTAGGC